AGAGCTGTAAAAAGTCTTTTTAAGATACTCGAAGCCAAAGTGTGCTAAGAAGTAATGGGTACCTAACGCGTTGTGATCTTTTTTTTTTTTAAACAAGACTATCCCACGCAGTTGCCACTCCCGAGCACCGTTAACAGATAACTACCGGTAATTAAACAATCAGAAAGCAAATTAATTCGAGATTAAAGAATCGATAGCATAGTGTGCGTATACAAATACACCATAAGGTAATTCTCTATAATTTAACAGAAAAGGTGTTCGAAAATGTATAAATGTCGAATATCACCAGTTGAGTCCTAAATGAACATCAATGGACTATCCACTGAGATATGCAATAGATCTTGATTATAAATTTATTTTCTAAAAAACATTTCAATGGATTTAGATTATTGGATAATTTAGTTTACAAATAAGCCATATAATATAATTTATAAGCCTTTGACGAGTTGCAAGCCAAACCAAAGATTTTACTTAAATAATCCATCCAAATTATTATAACAAAAACCACAAGTTTTTATTGTGTTAATATTTTTAAACGTAGGTACTTCCTATTCTTTTTTGTAAGCAGTCGGTTAAAGTATAAAATAATATTCGCAGTAATCACTATAATATAAATGCTGGTTGCAGAGTCGGTAAAATTCGTATAAAATGTCATTAAAAACCAGATGTTGGTTGGCTATCATAATTTCTTATTATGACAAAAAAGAAAACGTAGTTAGCCGCCGTAAAGCTGCATTATGGCAGTGTCGCAGAAATGAAAATATTACACGATCATTTTAAATAAAAAACACCACGGCGCTTTTTTGCGTTACGAACAAAGCACTTAATTTTACAAACAAGCATTTGTTAGTCGAAACAAAAAGCGTCGTACATTCGTTTAACATTAAATCTTTAATGTAAGCACCGAATAACTTTGTCCCGGTCGGTCGCCCTTATGCCATGCAGCTCACTTACTTACAGGAGAAATATGCCGTTAGCACCCTTTTTTTTTTAATATTGTACATTTCCCTCGTCATTACAACATGCTACCGTAAAAAATAAGATGATTATAAATCAAAATTATATACAACGCGCACAACAGTTGTACATAAACTTTTGGCCGTAATAATATTGTACTGTTTGTACTTAGCAGTCATTTAAAAAAAAATAAACATTTTTAAACCGTGTATTAGATTTATTTTACTGTTTTCTTAAATCCATAAGCAATAAAATAACAGTTCATAAAACTTTAAGATGACGTTCAATGCTCGAATACAAATTATAGCCGATTAAATGTCAACTTAACAGCTACATAATAAATACCTAAATCCATAAAACTCTCACGTTTCGTTATTGTTACTGTGAACGATTGCCGTTTCAGAATTCAATGCTTATAGACTGTAAAAACAAAATGCTACAATCAAGTAGAAAGTCGCATACTTGTTTATTCGGCGGTATTCTAAGAGTGGTACAGTTTATATTAAGTCATGACTAATTCTAGAACTTAAACAACATAACTCAGAAATATAGTAATACTGTATGAGGCAAGTGTATTTTCTTCTCATAATAGCATACATTTATAAATTGTACAGGAATATTATTTGTAGCTCTTCAATGGTAATATTTAATAAAAAAATATAATTTATCAAGATAAATATTAAGCTAATATTAACTATGCAACATATTAACACAATTATAATATTTTAGAATTAATTTTAATTTTATAAAAATATTTTAAAGTTACGTTTTTTGGTAGGAAATAATACATTTAAAAAAAAGCAAACGTTTAAAAATATTTCCAAACACTATAAAACAATAATTGTAAAATAATTATATATTTTTTAATATTTGTGTTATTAATATTTTCAAGTATACTGACAAAATACGATATTAAAATATGTTTACAACTATTCTAAATAAATTCTTATAGCTATAAAATGTATTTTTGCTCTGTGGGTATGATAATACTTTTTAAATGTTTCCAAAATTAAAAAAATGTCCTACCCTATATGGTGTAATGTTTGTAGGTGGTAAATAAAAAACATTACACGTCTGTTTAAAAATTAACTTGCTTCTACGCTTACTAAATAACAGCTGTCCTCTCAAGAATGGATTATACTATTTGTTGGATATTTTTTTATTTCAATCTAAAGGTAACTGTAAGTTTTTATACACATTATCTACCTGTATAAATAAATGCCACGTGCGCGCGGCAGACAAGTATAATATTGTAAGTAATGAAAAGAAACCATAAAATCGCAGTAAAATAAACGTTTTTGGAGATACGGTAGCTCATGTACGATAATAAACGTACATAATAATAATAGTAATGAGTAGTAAAAGTCACGCGTGGTGCCCTATTTGTATACTGCTTTATCAGCTATGGGTACAATCATATTATTATTATTATTATTATTATTATTATTAGGACGGTACTCAGCTCGTTTACACGCGTTAACACGGCCGTCGGTGTAGCCTATGATATTTACCTTACCGGCATCGATTTCAAATCTGTTATTATTATGATGATGATCTTTTTTTTTTTGTTAAAAATATCCGTATGGGGTGAAAACGACCCTTTTATGGGAAACACTAGTTTCGAACATAACGACGAGTGTACTACACACATAATGTACGATTTTATTTCTTTTTGCTTTATTATTTACCGGAGAAACCTGTCCTTCGTCACACGATCCCTTCACGAGGGAACAGACGCGTATCATATAATGTGTATAGGTGAACATTTTTTTTTCTCATGTGTGTAACGATTTTTAATTCGACCAGAGACGGTAATAAACATGTCCACACACGCCGTTTAGAACTCGATTAAAAAACGCTGGGACACGGTGTACACATATCATATTATTATAAGGGGAGAGGCGGTATAACGTCCCGGTACGGATGACATCAAAGGCGAAGGAAAACCCGCTGGAAGATACCGTCCCACAGACAGAGGCGGGGAGAGAGAGATGAGTAAAGATCAGCAAACCGAGGAGGTGGTGTATAATATTTGTATTATAATAGCGCAATATACGGTATATACATATATTGCCTTTACTGTAAATTTAAAGCACAACAACAAACCGTATTCTAGCCGCACCGAGTCTTTATTAAAATCCCTTTTAAATTATTGCCCCCTCCCCCCGGGCGGGAATCCCTGGAACGGCCTCTATATATTCACAATCTAATAAATATCAGGAACACATTGCGCGTTCACGGGCCGACGATTAAAATGGCCATATGTAAAGGAATGTATATATATATATATATATATATGATCTTGTCCTTGCACCACCCTCCATAGCCTTTCCTACCGGTCCCATTTGAGTTATGTCTTAATTCTCAGGTAGACTCTCCTGTTCCTGTCCCCTCTGCTGCTACATATTATGTACATATATATATACCTACGCCTCGTCTTCGAAGCCATTGTTATCCAGTAGCATTAATCACCAGCGCCACCACCAGTCGCTGTCGGGTTGGCGGCCATGTTGGATGTACCTACCTCGCTCGTGTGTGACCTATACGATTTAATAATAGTTAAATATATATATATACATTTACATATAGGGTCGGTATTATTATTATTATGCTATGCAGAAGGGGCATCTCGTCTTGAGAGTGAGTTATAAAAGTCACCAGGTACAACGTATAATGAGCCCATTAAAAACGGTCCGACAATAAAACCGAGTCGTTAGAAATGATGGCACGCAATGGGTTGTAAACTGCCGCACATACTATAAGAGTGTACAGATATATATATATATATATATATATATACTGTATGATATATATTTTTCATAGGTACAATACACCATTATGTATACAAGTAACGTACAACCCGAAACGATCGTAAAGCACGTCTTAATGGCCGGTTATTGCTAATTAATTCGGCGATTATTGTTGTTTGTTTTGCTGCGTTCGGTGTATATATAATAATAATCATAATGGTAATAACGACAAAATAAAAATGTATACCTACATACATAAACGCACGACAATGACGTCGTTAAGTTTGACCGGAATGATGACATTTATTTTGTTTTATATATTTTAATATACATATATATATATTGTATGTATAATAGGTGAGCACTATGTGTACACGCTTTGCTGCAAGAGAAACGCGACATCGTGAAAAATATTATTACCCATTTCACAGCACGCTCCGCTTTTTTTCTTATATCCAACTGTTAAGAATTCTCTCATTTACCACCGATAGGTTACACTTAATAAATGTCTTAACAAATCGTACATAAACGCATAATATTAAAAATACCGATTTCTTCTTAAAAGACTTATAAAGCGTACGAACAAATTTGACTATAATTTAATTTTCTTAAAAACTGACGAGTACGGCCACTATTTAGTTACAGCTTGTCATAGAGCTATGTTATATCCTAGTACGTCTTGATGCTAATACATTACATTATATGGCTCCTTTTTAAAAATGTTTACTTGTCATCCAAGACAATTGTAAACGTTGTACCGAAGGTTAATATAATATTTCTCTTGTTTGCACATAATAATATATCTAGTAAAAATCTATCGTAGGAAGACCTGACTAAATCGGTTTCTTGAATACATTCATGTAGTGTCGCATATCTATAAAATACATGACACGAAAGAATCCACTGGCTTTCAACCAAGATCATTAATATGCAGTATCCGAAAAATAATGTGTCCTATGTAGATGTGAGAAAACCACAAACTACCAAGTATCAAAAGAATTCGTTTTTATAAACAATATATAATAAAAACAACAATACTACCGGAATTCCTCATTGCTGTCTACAATAATATATTATAATACAATATAGTATCAAATTTCCATATTATGATATTTCACAAAACAATTTTACTTTTTAGCTATTTTTTTAATGCTCTTAATAATTATCCAAAATTTTGGATAATTCGAAATATAAGAGTGAAAATATTATTATTGTGCTGGTTTCACATGGAATAAATCAATGTGTAAAATATAATACCGTTTCATTGATCATCTTCTTTTTTGTATCTTGTAGGTATAAATACATCGGCAACATATATTACACAAGTTTGCGTTAATAACAACAACATGTCACAAAATTGAAAATAAGTACAAACAGAAACGTATATTAAGGAAAATATTCAAAAGAAAAGGTTTGTCAATACAAACCGTTGAAATTAAAAAAATGTTTATGTAGTTATGTTTTTTACTTAAACATGATACAAATATTTTTTATTTTATGTTTTGTTATACAAACTATGTTTCAGCTTGTATGTAAAACGATAATTATTTAATATTATAATAACTAATAAAAACTATAAAAAACAGTTTATATTTTGTTAATGTTTTTATTTTGTTTTGTATACACATAATGTTTACGAGTATTATAAAATATGTTTTCTGTGCTGAGTAAGTATTATTCATTACCGCCTTTTGTACTCACAAGTCACAAAGAACTCTTGGGTAGTAAAACTATAATATTTTTTCCCTATTTACTTGTAATATAGAAAATACTTGAGCAACACTCGTGGTTATGTATTATGAAACAAGAGTATTATTTTTGTGGTTAAGGTGTATTTAATATTTATATATTTTATTATTTTATACTTGAAATATACTTTGATGGCCACAAAAAAAAAAAGTTGTATCAAAACAAAACACTATACTGGCAAAATGTTAATAAGATATGAGCCAAGCCGTAGAAACATAATTTTACATAGATGGATTATGCGGACAAGTTGATCACATAAGTATATACTTTTTTATTAGCCGACTAACCGCGGTTCTGCTGCTGGAAACTCATTTAAAACTTCTTATCATTTCACGGTGTGTATAAAAATAATAATTATTACTATTATACGACGCTATTTACCGTTTTTATAATATAAACCGCGTCTAATATCGTTTTTTATTGTCGATTTGTCACGTCGTTCGTTCAGAAAGTTATAATGCGGTTGTTTATGAGCAGATACACTCTTGGCTTTTTAATTCCGTTTTTATCCATGTGCAGCATACAAGCCATAATATATAAGTAGGTATTACGGGCCATGGGAATTTTTATAATTGTTATTTATACAAAGCCGGCGGGGCGGCCGTCACAGACTTCCGAACACTGAGATTTCTTGAAAACGAGTCGGCTACCCACAAAAAAAAAACACAATATGTTTCGCCATTAAAACACCTTTTTATAAATATAGGTATCATATTATTATTATACAAACACCGGCACGGCGGCCGGCTTCGTCTGCCTCCTGCAGCAAAGAGCCACACATAAGCAACGTATTATCACGGTGACTCGTTTTCCAAAGGTGTGTAACATAAGTATAAGAAGGAAAAAAATATAATTTAAGAACACGTTTTCCGACTGTACCGGTCGTCTCGCGTCGTAAGTCTGCTAGCCGGACACAATGTGTTTTGTACGTGCAAGCATATAACGTCCAATAGTATTTCTCCTTAACTGGAGAATATGTATACACTCTATACTAACATGTACCTAAAAACATATAGGTAGGTATATTTCACGTATATAAACTTGTACCATATACTAATTTATGCGCTTGTTTTCCGTGTACCTACCGATGATTTAACTTTGTTGTAGAGGAAAAAATAATTGTTTTAAAAAACAAAAAAAAAACGAAAATCCATAAATTAAATATTATACAGGATGTTTTTTTTTATCACGGACCACACAATATCTCACTGGATTTAATTGATTATTGTATTTTTTTTCATATAGTGTGAACTTAATTTTCCACAAATTTTTATATTCCCTCTGCCAAATTAATTATTGTTATATTTACTTTTAAATGCTAACGCATACATTTCATTAACTTTTTAAACCGAGAATAATGTACTAAACATTTTGACTGGACGATAGCCAGTTTTGGATAACTATTTTTGAAATTTCAAGTTTAGGGCAGGAGGAAAGGTGTAGTATTTTTTTTAACTGTGCGCACTTCCCTTTCCCGTCCCAACTTTTAAACTCTTATAACTTTACAAATAGTGGTTCAAAATTGGTTATCAACTAGTCAACATTTTTAGTAAAATATTCGCAATTTAAAAATCTAATGAAATATTCGTTACCATTTAAGTTTAAAAAGTCAGATTTGTGGAAAATTGAGATAACATTATATAAAAACACTATGAAATAAACCACCCTGTATGTAATTCAATACATATTATATTTTTTAGTGACGCCACTGGTACACACTACACACATAAGCATAACATTATAAACTTGTAGATTTTGTATACTTGCGTTGGCCATATGAAATGTAAGCAAGTACACGAAATACATTACAAGAATAATAATATACATGCGATATCGGTTTGCCGAGCAGAGGTAAAACGTTTTCAATGTATTTTTTTTTTTTTTGTTCCACGTTTGTTTTTTATTTTCATTATAATGGCCTCCGACGATGTCTTGTTTTTTTTTCCTTTTGCTTTTGCTCTTTTTACCGCTGCCGCCGAATCCTTCCCCTCGTCCAACGACGCCTTTACGGTTTACATAGTGTTCTCTGTATATAGATAGGCACAATATATAAAACCGCCCGTTGCGTAGGGCAAAAGGAGGAGGCGCCGCCGATAAAAAGCATTCGCGCACATCGAATAAATTACTAATAAGATAACATATATAAAGACATTATATATAACGCTGCCGGGGTAGCCGACAAGACGTGGGATTAAACAAAAGCGAAATCTTCAGTTTTGAGGTCGTCGGAGGGTCGTTCGAATGGGGAGGGAAAAAAAATAATAATCATTTCAAACGAGCCATTTCGGCGTGTGTACAACACGATTGTGTAACGACTTGGCGGCAAGACTATAGACGTTTGTATATTTTATAAAGATGGCAACAATATTATTGTCGTTATAATTATTATTATTATATTGGGTCCCTACGACCACCAATTATGTCGTTACGCGATATCCGAAACTAAGTAAAATTTAGCTTTTTTTACTGCCGATAAAAAGTTATTGTTATTGGTATTTTTTTTATAATAATTTCAAACAACATTCACCCAGACATGCCGCGCGTAATTATTGCAATTGTATTTTTAAGCGGTTTATGATGAGCATAAGTGATTAAAACATAAAGATAATCGCCCAAAGAAAAAATACTCGTTGTCTTTTTGAAGAAGAAAAAAGTTAAATAAATTGAGAATTATTTTGCTTTTTAAGATTATTAAGTTTTTTCGAAAACTAATCGATTAATTTTAATGTTTACAAGTCATTACATTTTTTGTACAACTACGAGTCTGTTTATTCCCAACAGTGAATTTAATCGTCATTAAAATTGAATTTATAATAAAAAAAGTTGGGTTTTTCGTGTTGACCAACATTAGATGATTTTTCTAATATTTTTTTTCAGAGAGCTGAGATAAATTTACAAAAAATGTGTAAATCTTAAATTGGGTTCTCCAGAAAAACAAAAAAAGTTTCAAAGAAAAGTTGGAAAATTATCTTATTTTTACACACATAATTATAATATCTGTTTTGATTATTGTGGTCGTTTTTTCTACTCTGTTACTCGAAAATATAAATTAATAATTTTTTCAGATAGCTGAAGTAATACATAAGACACTGATTTTTAGTTATTTTTTTTTGAAGGCCGAAGATGCTATAAAATAATAATTTAAAAAAAACTGAAAATACTTTTTACGATCATGGTTGACCATGATCGATAAAAAATTTGAGAACATTCGTTTCATCGTACCAGACATGCTGTGTAATTTTCAAAAAAATCTGAGGGGGTCACTCCAACGTTCGTTTGTATTTGGCGTTTTGACCCATATATTTATCGTCCACTCAAAATATTAACTGGTATTGACATATTAATTTACACTTAAATTGTCTTATATAGTGCACCATACTAAAATATACAGTAAAATATACGTATTATACATAAAATAGATATATACAGTACAATAACCGAGTATAATATATTCTTAATCTATACAAATATATAACTACTAGTTAAATTATCCGGTCGTATCTAATAATAATAATAATAATAATACTGCTTTCCACTTTTCCTCCTGCCCTAAACTTGAAACTCTGATAAATTCAAAAATAGTTGTCCAAAACTGGTTATCGACCGGTCAAAAACTTTAGTACATTGTTCTCAATTAAAAAAGTTAATGAAATGTATGCGTTACCATTTAGCTTTCAAAAGTTGCTATCAATAAAAGTAAGTTGGAAGGGGGGGGGGGTAAAAAGAAAGAAATTGCGAAAAATTAAGATCACATTGTATGAACACATTGTTGTTTGTACCTACTAACTATTTTAACGCTAACCGCTATTCTTCGTTGCCTAGGTTGCTTTGCAACTGTTTGTGTAGATAAACACATGTCAAAAACAAACAAAAATATTAATATACCTATTATTCTAAATCTTGCTCTAATTCTAAATTCTAACTCTTGTCTACGAAAATGTCCGAGCAGTACTTGCACACTCTTTCGGAAGTAATGTCGAGGTAATTTCGTATAATATGATTTCAATGATATGTATTTAATTTGTTTAAGCGGTTTTTACAGCATAATCCATGTATACCGACGGCGGTTGCCAAATGTTTTGTTGTACCAAACGCGCTTTTCCGACGTCACAAGAGAATTTCTTTGGTGGCTAAGATTTTGGCTTTCGCCGATTTCGTTACAGAGGAGTTCGACGGTGACGGCGAAATAATATCGACCTTAAAAAACCAAAAGGAATCGGTAAAACTGCTCCTCGAAATCCATCAGGTAATACGCAGCGAATATTATTTTAATCCACACGATTTGACTCCCAGCTGGTGTATTATGAACTATTGTGGACGGTCTATAAAAGAAAAAAATAACGTTGGTCTTGAATCAGTAAAAAAAAAGGCGAAAATTTCAAAAATGTCTGCAAGTCTAACGGGTTAAAGTGCGCTAAAAAATGTGAAAAAGACAAAAACGCAAAGCCTTTTTCCAAGAAACTACCAAACAAATATCAACAACTTTTTTTTTTTATTTATTTATTTTTTTTTTTATTATTTCTCTCGGCGGCAAAGGCCATTGGGTTACATTAAATTATTACATTGTGCAGATTTTTTTTTTTTTTTTTTTAATATTATTTTATTTTAGATCTTTTAATAAATTCAACTAATTTTCTGAAATAAAAATAAAAAATATCGTCTTTCAGCTCCCATAGAAAAATTAGTTAAGTTTCTACAAAATCATTGTAAATTGACATCTGTC